GTGTGTGTGTGTGTGTGTGTGTGTGTGTGTGTGTGTGTGTGTGTGTGTGTGTGTGTGTGTTAGCCTAGTTTGCTGTCATCTCTCTCTGCCTCTGTTTTCCTCCATGTTTTCTGATGCTGTGCTGTGATTTTACTCTGGTATAGATCAGCTCTGTGTTGTATTTTGTGAGTGTGTGTGTGTGTGTGTGTAGTAAACATCAGCAGTGTTGTGCGTCAGAGCTGCACTCATTTAATGTCTCGGATGTACTTTCAGAGATGTAGACAGACTTTTTATGTGTGTTTTAGCTGTTTGACTACTGTAATGATGTAATACAATTCTACACTACCTTACAGAAGTCTTGTGGCCTCTCCAAGTTTTATGAACACAGATAATATTTTGACTTCTAGTTGATGATCTGGTGTCAGAAGTGTCTCTATGGAAGGTGAAGGCCTCTAGATTTTGCTGATTTGAGCTCAATTAAATCTGATCATGTGTTGATGTTGACTGATTTGATGAGGACAGTGCGGTCTGACTCTGCTCAGACTAAAGTCTCATCACTGAACAGAAATAATGTCCAGTATAGAATATAAAGTCCTGCTGCAGTGGAGACAGAATGAATATTGTGTCTGACTCCATCATGAGCTTGGAGGACTGCATCCATACATCTCTGACATGACTCACATCACTGATTAATAAAGTCATCTGGAATGAAGAAGAAAGCTTCAGCAGGATCCCAGAGTTCATCAAGAGTCTCCTTTATCTTACCCCAGACATGCTCAATAATGTTGATGTCTGGTGACTGGGCTGGCCAGTCCTAGAGCAGCTTGACCTTCTCTGCTTTCAGGAGCTTTGATGTGGAGGCTGAAGTATGAGCAGGAGCGCTATCCTGCTGGAGAATTGTCCCTCTCCTGTGGTTTGTAATGTAATGGGCAGCACAGATGTCTTGATACCTCAGGCTGTTGATGTTGCAGATCTCTCGCCCCATACTGAATGAACCCCAAACCATGACTTCTCCTTCACCAAACTTGACTGATTTCTGTGAGAATCTTGCTCCATGTTGGTTCCAGTAGGTCTTCTGCAGTATTGGTGATGATTGGGATCAGCAGATGATTCAGCAGAGAAATCCACCTTCTGACACTTTCACACATCATCAACTAGTGGTCGAGTTATTATTTGGTGCTCATTTTATTTCGATTTTGTTTTGTTTTGTTTCATTTTGTTTTGTTTTATTTTGGTTTCATTTTGTTTTGTTTCATATTGTTTTGTTTTTGTTTTTGCTTTGTTTCATTTCATTTTTTGTTTTGTTGTTTCAGTAGTTTTTGTCTTCTGATTCGTTTTTGTTTTTTGGAGTTTCCATTTTGTTTAGTTTCATTTAATTTTTGTTTAGTTTCATTTAGTTTCATTTTGTTGTGTTTTGTTTCATTTTGTTTCATGTAATTTTTGTTGTGTTCATTTTGTTCTGTTTCGTTTATATCCTTTTTGTTTTGTTTTGTTTTGTTTCAGTTTGATTTTGTTTTTGTTTTGTTGTTTCATATTGTTTTGGTTTTGATTTGTTTGCTTTGATTTCATTTTATTTTGTTTGGGTTTCATTTAGTTTTGTTTCATTTCATTTTTGTTTTGTTTCATTGAGTTTCATTTAGTTTTTGTTGTGTTGATTTTGTTCTGTTTTGTTTCATTTTGTTTTTGTTTCGTTTCATTTTGTTTAATTTATGATTTCTGATGCTGTGTCTGATTACATTGTGGCATTTGGTCAGGTGTGTATGTGTGTGTGTGTGTGTGGTAAACAGTGTTGCTGTGCTTTCGTTTCTCGACATCTCTGCATTCTAAGCCTCAGATGTGCTTTCAGAGATGTAAACAGGCTTATTGTGTTTTTTTTTTTGCTGCTTTGTTTTGGGATTGTTGTGTTTGAACACCTGATATCGTCGGCTGCTTTGAAGTGTTTTCTTTTCATTATTATTTCAGGAGTTGTTGAACTGGTTTGAGTGTTTGGGCGATTGAGAACGTTCTTTGAAAACTGTGCGCTTTAGACAAAATGCTCAAATTGAAAATAAAACATTTAATATGCTAGTCTTGTGAGAACAAATTGTCTGTGTGCAGCTAGATGGATGAATTGAACGGTATATAGATAAATAGATGGATTGATGGATGGATGGAAGGATAAACTAATTTATGAATTGAACATTGGACCTGAAGTTTCACAGCTCATGACCTTGACAGATGTGTGTGTGTGTGTGTGTGTGTGTGTGTGTGTGTGTGTGTGTGTGTGTGTGTGTGTGTGTGATTACACAAGCTGCAGTATTGATCAACTCATCAAATCAAACACACAGCGCTTCAGTTCACCATCGCAGCGTAACTGCGTTCATTCACACACTCGTATTAGCACAGTTTTGTCCTCAGGTGTGGTTGTGTTTCACACTGCGCCGTACTCTTTCTTTACTGTACGCTTTGAGCTGAATAGACTGAACTGCACTCGTGTGAGCAGAGAATGTGCCGTCAGCAGCTTCATCTGAATGCAGCTCTATGGAAACCAGCAACAGGAAGAGAGACGAGCTCAGGAAACAAAAGAAAAGTCCCATCAATCACTAGAGGAGTTCTGCCTCTAAAACCCGAACTCAGAACGTCTTTTAAATGAAAGGGGCAGTTCACTACAAAGGAGATTTTTCCTGACCATTTATTCACATTTCAAGAAGTTGTTTTTAGTAAAAGCTCTCTCCTTTCTGGTTTATGAGTTGGGTCGCGTGATTTATGTTTCCCGCTTCCATTAAGGGAGGATAGTGTATATTGATGTGCCCTGATTTTCACGGTGCATTGTGGGACTCCTCGCCGTATTTTCCTCATATGATGTGCAGGACAATGGCAGCTTTTTCCAAATTGCGAATTCAGTTTCATTTGTTGTTCTGCTTTACCACAAAACTATCGCCACTGACTGTTTATTCATGAGGGAATCGAAGATTCATTTGAACTAGGATTCAAAAAGGATTCCACAAAAGCCTCGATTTGGCCCGATTAGGCCCTGGAAGTGACAGTGGAAACGCGACTGGCCTTGGCTCGTCCTGGCTCGCTCGCTTTAGGCGCGATAGTGGAAACGCGGCTATTTTCACTCTGGCTCCTCTTCTTCTCCATGCAAGCACATGTTGCCAGATTGACGACGCCAACAGCACTGACTATCGAGCCTAAAGGCTGATTTAATCATGTTTTAATTAAAAGCAGTGGCATGCAATAGAGGGAATATTTTCCATAATAAAAGTAGTTTTTGTCGCAACCAACACCTGAAAGTTATATTTTCTCACAGCTGAACAACAGAAAACTGAAAACGATCAGCTCAACTACACCTCATGTGCTTTAATCAGTGTTAAATGCTGATAATGTGAGTTTGAATGCCATTGTGTGTGTGTTTATGAACGCAGGAAGGAGCGACCCGTCTCTCTGGGTATTTTCTCATTGCCGGGCAGTGATGTGATGAGTCCCGATGTGCACAGAGACGAGTCTCCAGGATCAGACACCTGGAGATATAACAATCTCAGCCATCCTCGCTCCAACACCAGCCTCAAGGTGAGAAGCACAGCACATTACTGTTTATTTACATCTATTAAAGATACAGTTCACCCATTACACTTTCATTGGCTACCAAACAAACCGCTGTTTATAAACTACTACTTTCAAGATTATTATAATATTAACAATTTTATTTATTAATTTTTTTTGATTGGCTACAAAACAAATCGCTGTTAAAAGCTACAAAGGTCAATATTATTATAATATTAAAATATATATATTTTCGATTAGCTACAAAACAAACCACTGTTTAAAAACTACTAAGGCCAATATTTCTATATTATTATACAATATTATATTATTAATATGTTTTTTATAATTTGCTACGAAAACTACTGTTTAAAAACCTCTACGTACAACATTATTATAATATTAACAATTTTATTTATTTATTTTTCCAATTTTCCACAAACAAACTGCTGTTAAAAACTACTAAGGTCAATATTTGTAAACTATTATGGTATAATATTATAAAATAATATGTTTTTTGATTGGTTGCAAAAACCACTATTTAAAAACTACTTTCAACATTATTATAATATTAACAGTTTTATTTTTTTATTTTTTCAATTGGCTACAAAACAAAAGTATTTTTAACAGCGTTATGTCAATATTATTATAATATTAAAATATAAATATATCTTCAATTAGCTACAAAACAAATCATTGTTTAAAACTTCTAAAAGTCAATATTTATATAGTATTACACAACATTATAATATTAATACATTTTTTTTATTGGCTACAAAACAAACCGCTGTTAAAAAACTACTATGTTTAAGATTATAATATTAACAATTTTATTTATTTATTTTTTTCGATTGGCTACAGAACAAACCACTATTAAAAGCTATTAAGGTCAATATTATGATAAAATTAGTATGTTGGCTTTTTTTGGCTACAAAACAAACCACTGTTTAACAACTACGTTCAATAGTATTATAATATAAATTTTTTTAATTAACATTATTTTTAAAAAATGCTGTTCAATATTATTAATAATATTTTTAATTTGTATTATTATTATTATTATTATTATTAATATATTAATAAAAATGTATTCTTTAAAAAAAACACTGTTAAAAACTACTAAGGTCAATATTATTATAATATTCATGTATATATTTTTGGATTGTCTACAGAACATACCACTGTTATACTGTTTAACCTAATTAACCTAGTTAAACCTTTAAATGTCACTTTAAGCTGAATACTAGTTTCTTGCAAAATAACAAGTAAAATTTTATGTGCTGTCATCAAAAAAAAAAAAAACCCAGAACAAATTAGTTATTAGGAGTTTGACTAATAGTTTTGTCTTCAACTATATGTAAAAGTAAGAATCATTTTTGAATTGATTTTATTTATTTATTTAAGATACAAAGGAGAAAGTTTCCATTTCAGACTGCATTGTTGCTCTGTGAATTCAGCCTCAGACTTTACATGAGTTTGTGGAATAAAGGTGAAGACGTTTATTTTGTGTGGAGAGAGAGTTTCTCCTCCTGAAAGGATGTTTCCAGATCGCATGTTAAAAAGCTGGAGCAGAAATGAGGCTCTGTTGTGTCCTGCATGCTTAAACTGTGGCTGAGAGCCAGAAATCATCCTGGAGCAGTTCTCAGAGCTACAAACCTCCTGATTCGGGAACCTTCTGTTTCCCATAGAGATGCACAACCCCAGGCCCCCTCATGAATATTCATGATAGTGACGTAATCATTATTCCTTAAACTCTTCCTGCCGTCCAACTGAATATTGAGTTGGGGGCGGGGTTAAATTTAGAACTGGGTAAGCAAAATCATTTTGTTTTTGGTTTAAAGTAACATTATTCTGCGTACCGCATTGGCAGATTATTTAGCTTGTTTTAAGGAAAAACTCACTTCATTCTGAAAACAAGACAATATTATTTGCTTGCCTATAAAATCCTTCTTTACTTACGAATTTTGAGATGTTTGGACTAGAAACAAGACAAAAACTAAGTAGGAAAAGCATCCACATCCTAGAATAGACTGACCTTGAAGCCTGTGCTCTGATGCAGGAGTTTTTGGAAGATCCCATTTCAGCTCTCAGAACCGCAGCGCTTACAGTGAAGGTCTGAGATTGTTGCAAAAAAACACTTTATTATTGTTACTTGTTTTTATTCATATATATATATATATATATATATATATATATATATAT